ATATAACTATAGCATTGTTCTACCACATATAAATACAATTAATATTACAAAGAAGCCAAAGTTGCAATGCTGTCGTGTCGACCAATCAAGACGTGGACTGTTATAAAGAGAATGACAACTATTAATTGGACATCGCATGGCAATGGCATATAGACAATAAGAAATAGAAATAGTGTGTTGTTGCCATTTTAAGTGCCTATTTACCACGTGCTCAGCGGTGAAGCATAACATCATGACGAAACATGCATATGAGGAATAAAAATAATTCGAAAACATGTGAAGTCTTATGTGCGGTTATCATCAAAAATTTAAGACTTTCTTATAGAAAGTTAGTATATAATAACATGTCCTAGATATATTTTATGTAAAGATAGTAGAAAATTTTAGGTGTCTGTGATCGATTCGTAAAGAGATGACACTTCTGCCGAGTCACCAGTTATAAATAATCTTTAGATTATGAACCATATCCCCTCAATATACTCTATTAAAGTTTCGTAGTGAGTACACACCCTTATAAATATTACATCTGCATAATGAATTCCCCTGCAGATGATATAGTAACTTGGTACAGAAATATCCACTCTCCTGGATTAGATTGTTTTATGACGAAAGTGAATGCCGAATGTTTTACCTAAGTTATTTTTTATTTTCCCTGCATTGAATATGAAATTATAAGATAATGAAACGAAAGGTTCAGTATTATGTGTTTGTTTACTTGGCGTGCTTATTGGATTCGTCAAACGATATACGATATTTATTTATTCGCGTAAGAAGTAAACATTTTGTAAGAAAGTATTTGTAAACAGTCCGTTCTATAGTAGATTATAATTTTTCATATACAGAAATTCACACGTAACACTAAAATGTACAATGTTTATTACCATCATAAAAAAACTAAAACTAAAAACTTAAATAACAATAATAAACTTTTATAACATTTTATAGGTTTAATTATTGCGCCATCTGGCGACAAAATAGAAAGATAATTTTAACGCACCTGAACAGAGGTAATTTTATGTACATCCATGAATCATCATATTGTTTTTGCCGGCTGCTAGATGTCACTAGTTAGACAATTAATATATAATCTCTTCTATTTCCCTATAAATAAGTTGTTAATTTAAATCAATAATTGATCGTCCCTGTTGATGATAAGAGGGCTGGTTTTTTTTTCGCTCAAAGGCTAAGAATAGCCATTCAGCGAGGAAACCACAGAGTACTTAAGTATTTTGAAGAGGAAACGCAGCCATGTTTCTTGGCATTAGCATTCTGTCGCGTGTAATAGAACTAAATGATAATTGGTTTTTATTGGAAAAAAAAAACAGTTATACATCAGTATAATACAAGACAATTAATTTATTCAAACGGAGACCTTTAATTTCACATTCCTCTTTCATACACGTGACTAATGCCTGCAGTTCTGCCTCTGATGGTGCAATAAGCACTGCATCATCAGCATACAGCAGACAATTTACTTTTATGTCACCCAATTTCACACCCAAACAGCTATCTTTCAGCTTTTGTAAACAGCTGTCGAGATACAGTATGAACAGCCAGGAAGACATGACACAACCCTGTTTTACGCCCGTTTGGACGCTAAACATGGGTGACAGGTCATGCCCTACCCGCACACAGGCTTTACAGTCACAGTAAAGAGACTGCACAGCCCTTAGCAATCGGCCATCCACACCATACCCCGGCAACAGTTCCCACATTTTCTTCCTTACAACCTTATCAAATGCTTTCTCAAGATCCACAAAAGCACAGAAAATCTTCTGGTTAACAGCCAGAAGCTTTTCCGTGATCATACGGAGAGAAAACATTTGATCCGTGCATCCTCTTCCAGGTCTAAATCCGCATTGTGCCTCCCATAGAAATCTTTCCGATTTCTCTTGCATCCTACGTGTCAAAACCTTCGAGTAAACTTTACTTGCTAAACTGGTCAAGCTGATCGCCCGATAGCACCCGCAGTCAAAATGTGAACCTTTACCTTTATATAAAGGCACAATGACTGCGGATCGCCAATCATCCGGGACATCCCCCGTCCGCCAGCACAAATTGCACAGCAGATGAAAGCTGTCCCAGACGCGAGGCCCACCATACTTGACCATTTCAGCAGTAACTCTGTCTAGTCCCGCAGCTTTACCACATTTCAAACTTCGAATCGCACGTTCAATCTCTTTCATACTGATGACCTCAGTGTCATCGAGGTCCGGGTCTGGCGTGCCAGTCACGGCGTCATCCCCGGATCCCTCACTAAGATCATCACACGCATACATTTCTCTATAAAATTCGCTCCATCGCTGCATGACGTCCGATTTTTCTGAGAGGACGTCATTAGTTCTCGAAAGCACTTTGTTCATTCTTAAGGCCGTCGCACCACTTCGGGTCCTTCCAACCTCTTTCCAGAAGAGTTTGGAGTTCTCCTTAAAGTTGTGCGACAACCTTTCATCCGCTTCCATTCTACACCTTTCACGCACTTCCTCAATCAATGCTTTCGTGTGAACTTTCTGCAGCTTATATCTTTCTTTCATCTTCTCTCTCATATCCTTATCATTACTAGAGGCCAAGTAGTCTAACCATGCTTTCTTCTTCTTCTTTACAGCTTCTTTCACTTCATCATTCCACCATGCATCTCTTCTTTTACTACTGCCTCTTTTTATTGTTCCACACACTTCTTCCGCTGCACTTACCATTCCATCCCTAAGGTTCTGCCACGTTCTTTCTACACATTCGTTTCTGCCATCGATGGTGTCAAGCTTTTCGGCTACCCTCGCATGATATTTGTCCCTAGTATCCGCTTCCTGAAGCTTCCAGCTTCGGATGCGACAGACCGACTGTGGTTCTGTCACTGTCGTCCGGTAGCGCCAACCCGCGAACAGACCCCTAAATCTAGTTATCACTAGATAGTGATCCGTTCCCAGGTCAGCACCCCTGAACACTCGCGTATCCATAACCTGTTTTCGCAGTCGGTCATCCACCAGGAACAAATCGATCATACTTCTCTCATTCTTTCTTTCTCTAGTATACATATGGATTTTCTTGTGATTAAACATAGTGTTTGTCACAAGAAGACCCTTTTCCTTGCATACCGCCAGTATAAGCTTGCCAGCATCATTAACCCTTTTATCGCCAAACTTTCCAAGTACCGACTCGTACCCTGGTCGAGCGGTACCAACCCATCCATTCAAATCACCACATACAACAATCCTTTCGTTTCCCCTAGCCAAATCTAGAACTTCTCTTACATTCTCCCAAAACTCCTCCAGCTCAGCCCTGGACGACGAAGCCACCGGCGCATAAACAGCCAAAAGGAATAACTTCGTCAGTCCCAATTTAAAGCGAACCCAGAGAAGTCTTGAGTTCACAAACTTATATTCAGTCATAACATCGACCAACCGAGAAGACAGCAGCACCCCCACTCCCTGGCAGGCGTTCTCGCTCTCCGGGACTCCGGACCATAGAGCAAACGCCCCGCCAGGGAGCTCTTCAGTACCACTGCCCTTCCGTTTGGTCTCCGACATACACACTACATCTAATTCTCTTTCTTTCATTATTTCGATCAACTCATTCGTCTTATCTCTCATGCCTCCTCTAACATTCCACGTGCCAACTCTGCACTCCGTCCTCCACCTTCCGCCGTGTCGGGCTGTGCGTGACGGGTGGCGGTCCCCATCGCCGCTTTGCGCGCTGCATTCCACACCAACGGGGACGAGCTGGTGTGCGTCGCCTTGGGGGGACGCCCTAACCCTCGTTGACATGGGTGCGCAGCTGAGTAGAATTGCAGCCCTGAAAAGGGCTGGCAGGGGTCGCGACGAGCACGCTTCTACAATGACCCCCTAAATTAAAGGTCTCCGTTTGAATGCTAATAAAACTAAGGTTCTGGTATTTGAAAGGGACGAAGAGAGAACGAAGTGTGAAATATGGGTAAATCAGGAATGTCTAGAACAGGTAAATGAAATTGTATACTTGGGGAGTGCTTTTAGCCGGGATGGAAGATGTGATTTAGATGTGGACAGGCGTGTCGCTGCCGGGAACAAAGTCAATGGTGCCCTGACTGCGTTAGTCAAAAGGCAAGGCGTAGCGAAGAGTGCACGCCTTGCAATACATAACGCAGTGTTGGTACCGACTTTGTTATATGGCAGCGAAACCTGGGTATGCCAGAAGAAGCATAAAAGTAAGTTGAATGCAGTGGAGATGCGATCTCTTCGTAAAATGTGCGGCGTTACTATGGCCGACCGAAAGCGAAACGAAGAGATTCGCAATATGGCAGGTTTGAAAGATGACATTATCACAAAAATTGATAAGGGCGTGCTTCGGTGGTTTGGGCACGTTGAGCGAATGAGTGAAGACCGAATGGTGAAGAAAATATATAGCGCGAAAGTTAATATTAAAAGGTGTCGAGGTAGACCGAGACTAACTTTCGAAGACCATGTGAGCAAATTGCTCGAAGAGGGTAGGGTCAAGAGTACTCGGATACCTAGACGTGCATGTATGAAGAAGATAATGAATCTGAAAGAAGCGAAAGAGATATGTAAGGATCGTGACACTTGGCGATCTGTTCTCTCTGGCTACCCCGTCAGGGATTGTGCGTGAAGATAAGTAAGTAAGTAAGTAACAATTAATTTATACTAGGAGTACTTAACGTGTAACCGATACCAATGCCTACAAATTAATATGCTTAGCCTTGTGTGTAGGAAATTATGTAAATTAATGCATATCTAATATATAAATCATTAGAGTCAGTCAGCAACTTCGTTATCATTCTTTTGAACTTTGTAGATAACAGAGCAAAATGTCACATGCTGTGAAGCGTGTATTACATTTATTTAAGAGGCGACTCGGTTGTTTAAAATCGTAAGGTGTAAAACAACCGCTCGCACTGCGTGCCGAATTACACTTATTAGTTTTTTTTTTAATTGTAATAAATATTGTATATATTTGAGAACTATGTAAATAAATGACTTTTGAAAAAAAAAAACAATTATTTAATATTCCAGACCGCCAGTGTCCCTCGCAATGGCACTTTCCCCGGCGCGCTACCCTCTCTTGTCACCGCACTACGCGCCGCTTCCGCCGCCGCAAGCGACGCAACCTCCACTACCCGACTCGTCACACGACAACGACGACAACAACCCGCACACAGATAGCGATGGTAAGCTTTTTTATACAATAAGGGTGACAAACGAGCACACAGTCCACCTGATGGATGCTGTGGCCCACAGACACGTCTCCAGTCACAGCGGCATTGAGCTGCTATTTTACGCTGATATTCTATGAGAGCCAAGTCTTTCTCTGATCGAGTTATTGCACAAAAGCACGTAAAGTCGTTGGTCCTGGGCCTGATCTCCCTCCGGTGGAGTCGGATTGCCATCTCATCGGACTGTGAGACTGAGGGAATAGAGAGTGCACCAGTGCTTGCGTACACACTCGTGCACTATAATCTTGTCCTACGTATCTGCGTCCTAGCCATCTACACTCTACAGCCATGGCAACCACAGTTTTCATATACGAACCGCGTTCAAATATAAAATAAAACTTTTATATTATTTTTTATAAAGGCATACTACTATGGTTTGTAACTGTTAATAAACGCTTGAAGCCTAAAAAAATATAACTTTAAAATAAAATATTAATTTGAAGAATACACATATTAATAGAATATTATTAATATGTTTAAATAAGTAGACTGTAAGTATTAAATCCACAAACTGTAGCTGTAGCAAATCTGTTTCATGTATATTTATTAGCACATAATTATCTGTTTCCTTTTTTTTTTAAATCACGTCGTTATTTATGTAAGTTGTTGTTATCTGTAAGATGAACACGTAGCATATAGTCGCAGTGTTGTGTTATATTTTTGTTAGTGTTGTGTATCATTTGATGGTGAACCACATAATAAAAGATAGCCGCGAAAATAATATATTTAATATAAAAATGTTGGCTACCCTAGTTAATAAAGAAATAAAATTACCAAAATAAAGCTACCAGCGCTGCGGTGCACGGTTTCAAAGATTATACCAGATGTGGATGTTTGTCTTTATGCAATTTATAAATGAAAAACGGCTCTACAGCAAAAATATTTTGTGTGGCCATAACTTTCCCTAAATTTACATTAAAAGTTAGTTTTTATAACTTTAAGACTAAGGTTACTTACTTGATGATGTCTGGACGCTCGTCTTAATTTTTTTTTACTACTTACGAAGAATTAACAACAGTAAAAAAAATTACAGATGACAGCATCGACGTCACCAACGAGGAAGATTCCACGTCGTATTCTCCTCCAGCAATACCAAGCTACCCTCAAAACTGTCCGCCGTATAGGTAAGTTTCACATTGATAATTTCTGACCACATTGAGCTACGTAGCATAGTTCCTCTTCTTAGCCTGAAGTAATTTTATTCAATTATTCATTATATTTTTAGTCGTTATTAGTAAGAAGCTGCTACCCGTCTCGTGATCTGTTTCGCTCTGTCGCCTCTTACGACACCCATGGGATGATATGGAGTAGTGCCACTACATGGGAATTGCCAACTCGCTTGCCAAGCGCGGCACTATACCAAATATTCCCCAATGAGGCAATCTATGGCGAGGAGGGGAGTCCTATGTTCAGTGGTGGACTTTCATAGGCTGTAATGGTTACGGTTATCATTATATTTTCAAGTGGCTTCAAAAAGGAGGAATTTGATTTGGAATTTTTCAAATTTTGTTTTAAATACTTCCCAGGAGGACCCATTTAAATTTTACCGAAATCGGTCGAGCGGTTTTAAAAAAATCCACAATAAATTATTTATAATGAAGTCGGTTGTACGAAATTTTTAAATTTTGCCGCTTGTTTATTTAATTATTAATAAATTCTTAAAATATTTTCAGACCTTTGGGAGTTGAAAGTTCCGCAGAGACAGCAGCTCGGTTGCTGTTCATGGCCGTCAAATGGGCGAAGAACCTACCTTCCTTTGCTAGCCTGGCCTTCAGAGATCAAGTAAGCAATTCCTATTACGGAATTACCGTACTTTATATTCAATATTTTGTAAGAGCACTAAGCGTACTAGTATCTTCATTAAGTTGTTTTATGACGCAGGAAATATTTATCGTTTGTAATAATAGGGTAGCCTTTACGTCTCGGTAGAGATATAAAGGTTATTATTCTGTGTTCTCCTTTTTACTGGAAACGGGGCATTTTGTCTTAGTCCTCAGAGGAGAATTAAGAATTAAAATGCAAAGCGCATCTGCATTCTTAATCGGGGATAAAAGTAGATGTTCACAGCATCTACTTGCAATAAGGTGGTCTATGTGCTCGTTTGTTACGTTATATAAAAAAACTCAAGGATTTTTATGGATTTAGTATAGGTAATGATATTCATTGCTCAGGCGGAACCACGTTACCAGTAACACAGCGAAACAGTAAAACACAGTTACACAGTAAAAAAAATTACACAGTAACACACAATTACACAGAAACACACAACACAGTAACACACAATTACACAGTAACACGCAATTACACAGTAAAATATAATTACACAGTAACACACAATTACACAGAAACACACAATTACACAGTAACACACAATTACACAGTAACACACAATTACACGGTAACATACAGTTGAACACTAACACACAGTTACACAATAACACAAAGTTACACAGTAACGCACTGTTTAACAACAACACACAGCTACATAATAACACACAGTTACACACTTACATACAATTACACAGTAACACACAGTTGGATACTAACACACAGTGACACAATAACACACAGTTACACAGTTACGTACAATTACACAGTAACACACAATTACACAGTAACAGACAGATACACAGTGATATAGTTACACAGTAATATGCAATTACCCAGTAACACACAGTTATATCATGACACACAGTAGCACACAAATACACAGCACAATTGCGTGCCTTACTATTACTGCAACGTCTAATCTCAACTCTACTAATAATATAATAATGTCCTCCAGAACGAATTTCGATCGCGGCAGCCAGCCTCAACGGAAACTAGCTATTGGCGCAGGATTACAGTGAACAAGTGTACGCACAAGCACAGGTGCATTATCTATTCCCTTACTCGCACAGTCCGATGGGACGGTAAACCGACACGATCGGAGAGAGATCAGGCACAGGACCAACGGCTTTATGTGCTATCCGGCCAACTGACTGTTAGATACTGAGAACTTCTTGACGTAAAAATTCAATAACTGATTTTCTTTACTGACCCGACCCGAGATTCGAACCCGGACCTCATGATCACCCGTCGCGTTTACAACCACTAGATCCACACAGGCAGTCAACTCTACTCCACTAGCATTATACACCGTCCATAATACGACACGTTTTTCGCCTCCTAACGAGGCATTACGAAGATGAATAAGTTTTTTGCATGTTAGAACCATGCTGCAACTATATTGTGGTTGTAGCACGAATGGATCGGCTTGGTAGGGGAAGAACCACGCTCTTACAGAACACCAGCATAAATAGCAGCTTAATGCCGCTGTGTTTCTATGGTGAGTGTAGAGACTCGGAGACTCTTTTTACTGGAAAAGAGGCACTCCATCTCAGTCCTCAAGGGTGACAACGCATCTGAATTTGGATTCTTAATTGAGGATAAATGATGATGTCTATGAGCCACAGCATCCACTTACCATCAGGTGGACTGTGTGCTCATTTGTCATATATTATTCTATAAAAAATAAGTAGACTTTACGATGTTTAACTTGTATCATATTTTATTAATTTTAGGTGATACTGCTCGAAGAAGCGTGGTCGGAGTTATTCTTGTTGAATGCGATACAATGGTGCTTGCCTTTAGACGCCGCTTGCACTGCTTTATTCGGAAGCGAACAGACGGATCAAGGTATTAACAATACAATACAATACTATACAATAACTTTATTTCAGGCATTACGGACTTAAAAATTAAGAACATTGGCAATATATGTATACCTTAACCTAAAAATATATATAAAATATAAACATAAAAATATTTAGGAAACTTTCTTCTTTGCTGTATCGGTGAAACACTACCCCAGAGGGCCAGAAATCGGGAGCAAAGAATGTCGCATTGTATTTTGCAGGCACCTGGAGTACGTAGGATTTGAAGTCCGTTGACCTATAATACTCCAGTCACTTCAAATGTAAAGAGATCGGATCCTCTATGCGGTACCGGCGCTGTTCTTCCACGAAACGCATGTCGTCTTCGCCCGACGTACTTTTGTCCAAACGGGAGATGTAGAGCTGTATGGTGGGCTCCAAAAGACACGTACTTGCTTTCATTGTGGCGTATCCCACGCTGCGCTCATTACAAACGGGTCTCGACCAACGTCACTTCTCAACAAGAGTAAACCCGTCATCAATCTTGTTTCGGGTCACCGCTGGAGCTTATTTTATACCCACATTCAAAAACGAAAAATTCTTAAGAATTACATTGACCACTAATAGCAATACGTACGTACGTATGTTTGTACATAGTATAATAGCCATGCTGCAGCTATACTATAGTTGTAGCACGAATGGGTCAACTCGACCGAAGGAGGACCACCGTCTTACGAAATATCACCGTGAAATAGCAGCTCAATGCTGCTGGGTTTCGTATGGTGAGTGAAAAGAACCAGAGACTTCTTATGCTGGAAACGGGGAATTTCATCTTAGTCCTCAAGGTGCAAACACATTTTCATTTTGATTCTTCATCGAGGATATATGGGGCACAGCATTCACTTACTATCAGGTGGATCATGTGCTCGTTCGTTACCATCTATACAAATAAATAAAATTGAAGTGTCTGTCTGTAATGCCAAAACTACAGTTTTTTACTAAATGCATATGAAAGCAAATACGTTACTTATAACTAAAATACAATTTTTAAACTTTTTGTCTGTCTGTCTGTTTGTTCCGGCTAATCTCCAAAACGGCTAGACAGATTTTGACGGAACTTTCACTGGCAGGTAGCTAATTTTATAATACTCCTTATATATATAATCCTCCTTACTTAGGCTACTATTATTTTAGAAAAATAATTAGGGTTCCGCGCAAAAACATAAAAACGCGAGCGAATTCGCGGGGAACAGCTAGTTATTTAATAAAATATCTACTATTGACGGAATAACTATTACATCGACTAGTACGGCTATGACTTGAAATTAACCTTAGCGAATGTGGCATACGTTTTTCAGGTCCGACTGTGGGATGCGCTAAAAAATCTCATGACTCTCGGGTAGATGGCGCTATAATTCAGTTAGGGTGTTTAATGTGTTTTTAATGCCAAAATATCTCGACCAGCGAAGAAAATCAACGTTAAAATTTAGATGTATGTTAATCAAAATGGTCTTTGATTAACTTACATATAAATAATGCCACATGGCACACCATACAAGATTCTACCCAAGTGAAGCCAGGGCGGATAGCTAGCCTAAAACGAGTATAAGATGACAGTCAATAAAAACACCAACGATTTAGCTATAATGGGTATATTCCGATATACACTGTGACCAATGTAAGGTGTGGCGTCAATTCAGTATACTGTGAATCCATTCCTTTTTAGTTTGCTATACTGGTTACTGTTTAAAACAGAACGCTGTCCTGTATACTGTCATCCCCATTTTCGACACTGTTTTCAAATGAAAATAATTATCTTGTACACGTTTTCTGTTAAACAAGAAAAATTATTATATGAATGTTGTTGCTTTTAAAACTTAATGTCCGGGTTTATTTGATTAACAATCATCATCATCATTACAGCCCTTCACAAATCCACTGCTAAACATAGGCCTCCCCCAAGGAATGCCACAAAGCACGGTCCTGAGCCACCTGCATCCATCGAATTTCTGCATGTCTTACCAGGTCGTCACTCCATCTAGCTTGGGGCGCCCTACACTTCGTCCGCCGATACGAAGCTGCCACTCTAGAACCTTTTCCCCATCGGTTGTCGGTTCTTCGAGCTATATGGCCGGTCCATTGTCACTTCAGCTTATTAATCCTTTGGGCTATGTCGGTAACTCTGGTTCTACTGCGGTTATCCTCATTTCTAAGTTTAACACGCAAAGAGACCCCGAGCATAGCCCTCTTCATAGCTCGCTGAGCGACCTTGAGCTTCCTCATACGGCCAGCAGAGAAGGACCAGGTTTCAGTTCCATAGGTCATCACTGGCAACAGGCATTGGTTGTACAGTCTAGTTTTTAAGTTTTGAGGTATATCTGACGAGAAGATATGCCGTAATTTCCCGAACGCTGCCAGCCGAGTTGAATCCGTCGATTGAGCTCTCGGTCGAAGCTGGACTTACCTAGTCGGACTATTTGTCGAAGGTATACATACTCGTCAACAACTTCGAGCTTATTGTCCCCAATAACTACCAGCATAGGTGTGATATGGACGTTACACGTGACTTGATTAACGATATTAAGTAATAATAATAACAAAAATTCGTGGAAGCTGTAAATTTCTAGGCGCTAAAGCACCTTACTTCGAAAGCACCAGTGCTCACAGAACAAAAATGGCGGCGATTTATGACGTCATATATTACTACAATTACAATATACTGGCAGTTCATAACGGAACGAATTTTTCACCAGTGCGAGCACTGAGCAGTGCTCGCAGTGTATATCGGAACAAACTCAATATTATATAAAGGATTTCCGTTGATACAGAAAATGGCGTGAACTCGGCAACCTTGCGTCGGCTTCGTGAAGTGTTGGCTAGATACAGAGCCGTGCTGGTCGACCCCGCGGAGTTCGCTTGTATGAAAGCGATTGTACTTTTTAAGTCAGGTAAGTTATTTTATTTTCCTTTAAAAAAAACCGTTACCGTAAGAATTTTCTCTTGTACCGTGGAGGCAGTTTACATTCATAAATTGCACAAGGACAAACATTAAATGCAGAATTTAAATATCAGAAATGCTTTCAATAAAGAAACAAAATGGTGATCGCTTAAAAAACGAAAACTCGAACGTCAAGGTTTTTCCCGGCGATAAAATTATAATTGGAACGAAGTTCCTTATCGCACGGCACGAATTTGACGGATGGGGGCTAGGCGGGAAAAAGTGTAAGATTTTTCCGTCACGACAATCTCTCTATATTACGAACGAGATAGAATAATATCCATCTCCCTCGCACTTTTTCTTATATTGCCATGAAAAAAATATTATTTTAAATAACGCTTCATTTTAATAGACGCTAGTAATTGATTTATTTGTATTTGTTAATCAATAATATAATACGTTTACCAATAATAATAATCCACGAAAGGAACTTTGTTCCAACCGAGTGTTCTACACACACGCATAGTTTTTTTTTATCTCGATAAATATAAAGAATTTTAAAAATCCCTTCCATTGAGAACTTAATTGAGTTTTTCGTGTGTGTGCATACTTTTTTCCGAGCACATACTATTCCAATCAACTCTTGAGTGTGTCTGTCTAAAATATATAATTATCAGTGGTAGAGCCACGCGGCAGCTTTTGCTGTCGCACGGATGGGCCGGCTCGAACCGGGGTGGTACCACGACCTCACAGAAAACCAGCGTGAAGTAGAGGTTTACCTCTGCGTTTCGCTTGGTGAGTGCAGGTGGCCGGAGGCCCTTTTTACTGGAAATGAGGCATTCCATCTTCATCATCATCTCATTTTGATTTGTAACAGAGGATAGATGTAGATGTCTATGGGCCGCAGCAACCACTTACCATCAGGTGGACTGTGTACTCGTTTGTCACCCTATCTTATAAAAAAAAAACGTTATTTTATTCCAATCTGGCCGTGCAGTTATAAGTTATTGAACGAATGGATACGATTGACTGGGGAAAGACCAAGCTTTTACAAAATGCCATTATTTTGTATGACGAGCGACAAGAACCGGAGACCATTTTTACTGGCAACGAGGCTTTCATTCTTAGTTCTCAGGAGTGACAACGTAGCTGTATCTTGATAGAGGGCATAGATTTATGGGTTACTGTTACAGCTCATCCTCAGGTGGACTGAGTGCTTATTACTCACACTGACTTGTATATAAAAAAAATATTTAATCCACTAACCCGCCAGGTATTCATTCGTCCTAACTTAACCTTGACCTACATGCATAAGGGAACTAATACATGTGTTTTTAACCAAACAAAATATGAAAATTATCTCCTTCTAGAACTCAAAACTAGATAGAGTGACAGATTCGTACGTGGTAGAGCCATGCTGCAGCTATATTACTGGTATAGTTGTAGCAGAAATGGGTCGGCTCGACCGAGGAAGGACCACGCTCTCAGAGAATACCAGCGTAAAATAGCAGCTTAATGCTGCTGTGTTTTGTATGGTGAGTGTAGAGAACCCTTTTTACTAAAATGATACATTCCATCTTAGTCCTCACGGGTGACAACGCATCTGCATTTTGATTTGTAATAGAGGATAGATGTAGACGTCTATGGGCCGCAGCAACCACTTACCATCAGGTGGACTGTGTGCTCGCTTGTGTGTCACCCTTATCCTATAAAAAAAGAGACCTGATAAGACATGCAGGAAGTCGATAGACGCAGGTGTCTCAGGACCGTGCTTTGTGGCAATCCTTGGGGAAGCTTATGTTCAGCAGTAGACTTGTGAAGGGCTGCTGTAATGAATAAATGGATAGATGAAATTTAAAAGAAGGCTTCGTTCGCCGATCCGAAAGGTTTATCGATGTTTTGCAGTACCACGAAATTTATAATAATTTTGCATCATATTTAACAAAACTTGGTTTACACTTAAACATGTGTAGGCACATAATTATTACTTATTGAAAAAATTACTTTAATATCATTCACAGAGACCCGTGGTCTAAAAGACCCGTTACAGATTGAGAACCTCCAAGACCAGGCGCAAGTGATGTTGATGACTCACGCCAGAACCGCTCACGGAGCTGCCCCCGCGAGGTTCGGGAGGTTGTTGTTGCTGCTTCCTTTGTTACGTCTGGTCACCCCACAACATCTGGAGCGTGAATTTTTTGCGAAAACCATAGGACAGACGCCGATGGAGAAAGTTTTGGCTGATATGTACAAGAATTAATCCGGCTTGAAGGACCAAAGACCTTAAAAACTATTTATTGAGTAATTTGTTATAATTTATCGCTTTTATATACCGTTCATGGCATAATAATTGTTACTAACTAATTCATTTCTTCCATGCTTTTTTCCTGGAAAGATGAAGGACAAAAGCAAAAAATTAAAAAAAGCAAAAAGGAATCTAAAACTACCCGAGCAGACAAATGCCCATCCGGTTCTTTAGTCTTAAATTATTATGGATTTGTTTTCTGCGTTTGTCACTAAATATGAAACACGCTTTAAATTGGATTGTTAAAAACATTACCCTACTTTTGGGGTAATCGGGTAAAAAGGCAAAAGCACAATATAATGTGTACATTAGGATGATTGTAGTTTGTACTTGTCCACTTACTACAATTTCATGGTCACAAATATATGGGTTAGTTTTTCAAACATTATAACAGAATAACATAAAAACACAATACATACAATATCTCTCACGCCTGTATCCTTTCATTTGGCACGATCCTGACACATCTCTCTAGCTTGTTTCACATCCATATATCTGGACATATATGCTGATTAGTTAAGGGTACACTTAATTTAGCCCATCTTCAACAAAGCGCCAATTTGGTTCATAAAATTTCGTCTAAGACGTCCATTGTTGTCTGCCACTCACTTCTGCAGCATATATATAAACGTGGTAGAGCCACGCTACAGCTATATGTAGTATGGGTGTAGCACTAATGCGCAGACTGTACCAGGGAAGAACCGTGATCTCACAATATTTGTGAGTGTAGAAAACCGGAGACCCGTTTTATTGGAAACGAGGCATTCCAGCATAGTCCTTTAAGGTGACAACGCACCTACATTTTGATCGGTCTGGTTTCGTTTGTCACCCTTATTCTATTTAAAAAAAAAGTTGCTTTGTCACTCTTTCCTCATTCATTCCTTCTACGTGACCCAACCACACGCATTCCTTATCTTAAAAGACTGGTCACAATATCTTGCAAAATACGCTTTTTTATTATCTACTATTTCTCACATACTATTGCGCTGGCATATTATAGGATTATCCGAAATCCGAAGAGAGGGGGAGGACACGGTAATCCTCGAATCCGGCAACTTGCTCTATCACCGGGAGGGCGACCATCTGTCTCAAGGAGGTGTCGGATTTATCGTTCACAAGTCTCTCGTTAACAACGTTGTAAAGATCGGGAGTGTGTCGACGAGGGTTGCGTACCTTATACTCAGAATCACCAAACGGTATTCGCTGAAGTTCATACAGGTTTACGCACCAACCTCGGCACACCCCGATGAGGAGGTGGAGGAAATGTATGAGGATATCTCTAGAGCCATGCATTCCTCCAAAACCCAATATACGGTGTTAATGGGAGACTTCAATGCAAAACTAGGCACAAGAGTGAACGGTGAGCTGCAAGTAGGGAAATTTGGAATAGGGCAACGGAACCCAAGGGGCCAGCAGCTGGCCGACTTCATGGAGAAAGAGGGACTCTTTATGATGAACTCTTTCTTCCAGAAGCGGCCCCACAGGAAGTGGACCTGGTCGAGCCCCGACGGTTCCACAAAAAATGAGATTGACTTCATTATGACGACCAGACGACAACTGTTCAGTGATGTCTCCGTGATCGCGAGGGTGAAAACTGGTAGCGATCACCGAATGGTTAGAGGCACACTGAACATAAACGTTAAGTTGGAGAGGTCTCGTCTAATGAAGTCAACGCTCCGTCCCCCTCGTGCTCTGTTCCAAAGTCCCGAAACCTTTCAGCTCGAGTTACAAAACCGTTTTCAGTGCCTGGAAGACTGCAATGAAGTGGACGATATGAATGACAAGCTCGTGGAAACTGTCCATGCGGTCGGAGCTAAGTTCTGCAAGACCCGCCGCAGAAGAACACAAAAACTCTCCGATCACACTCTTAATCTCATGACTGTTAGACGGGAGATGAAGCTACATTCTTCAACAGACTTGACAGCATACAGGCATCTGAACAGACAGATCTCCAAATGCATGCGGCGGGACTTACGCAACTTCAATACAGCTCGTATTGAAGAAGCGATCGAGCGGAACCAAGGCTCCAAAGTCTTTGCCAGAGATCTGTCTGCCAGAAAGAGCCAACTGTCAAAGCTGAAGACAGAATGTGGCAGCATCGTTTCCGGGACACCTGAGATTTTGAGTGAGATTGAGAGGTTCTATGGGCAGCTGTACACATCATCGTTGGAGCCACACGCAAGTGTGAGTAACGATCCAAGAGCGAGTCTCATCCGACACTATTCCGAAGATATCCCGGATGTCAGTCTGAGCGAGATTAGGATGGCTCTCCAGCACCTTAAAAACGGTAAGGCCCCAGGCGAGGATGGAATTACAGCGGAGCTTCTGAAAGCGGGTGGAAGACCGGTACTTGAAGTCCTTCAGAAGCTCTTTAATTCTGTCCTCCATGGTGGCATTACACCGGAGGCGTGGAGCAGAAGTGCGGTGGTCTTGTTCTTCAAGAAAGGTGACAACGCTCTCTTGAAGAACTACAGACCGATTTCCCTTCTGAGCCGCGTCTACGTGCTGTTTTCGAGAGTCATTACGAATCGTCTCGCGCGCAGACTTGACGACTTCCAGCCTCCCGAACAAGCCGGTTTCCGAAAGGGCTTTAGCACCATAGACCACATACATACCCTTCGGCAAGTTGTACAGAAGTCCGAAGAGTACAATTTGCCACTATGTCTGGCGTATGTGGACTATGAGAAAGCCTTTGATTCCGTCGAAATTTGGGCGGTGCTGCAGTCCCTTCAGCGGTGCCAAGTTGACTGTCGGTATATCGAAGTGTTGAAGTGCTTGTACAGTAGGGCTACGATGGCTATCCGAGTACAGAACCAGAATACGAAACCTATCCAATTGCGGAGAGGTGTAAGACAGGGTGACGTCATATCCCCGAAACTCTTCACCGCTGCATTGGAAGACGTTTTCAAGCTTCTGGACTGGAAAGGATACGGTATCAACATCAATGGCGAGTACATCACTCACCTTCGATTTGCCGACGATATAGTCCTTATGGCAGAATCGCTGGAGGACCTAAGCACTATGCTCAATGACCTCAATAGTGTTTCCCAACGGATAGGTCTTAAGATGAACATGGACAAAACAAAGATCATGTTTAATGTCCATGTCACACCTATGCCGGTAGTTGTTGGGAGCACTAAGCTCGAAGTTGTTGACGAGTATGTTTACCTGGGACAAATAGTCCGACTAGGTAAGTCCAACTTCGACCGAGAGGTCAATCGACGGATTCAACTCGGCTGGGCAGCGTTCGGGAAGCTACGCCACATCTTCTCGTCAGACATACCTCAAAACCTTAAAACGAAATTGTACAACCAGTGCGTGTTGCCAGTGATGACTTACGGAACTGAGACGTGGTCCTTCACTGCTGGCCGTATGAGGAAGCTCAAGGTCGCTCAGCGAGCTATGGAGAGGGCTATGCTCGGAGTTTCTCTGCGTGATAAACTTAGGAATGAGGATATCCGCAGTAGAACCAGAGTGACCGACATAGCCCAACGGATTAGTAAGCTGAAGTGGCAGTGGGCCGGCCATATAGCTCGAAGAACCGACAACCGATGGGGAAGAAAGGTTCTCGAGTGGCAGCCTCGTACCAGTAGGCGAAGTGTAGGGCGTCCCCCCACGAGATGGAGTGACGACCTGGTAAGACATGCAGGAAGTCGATGGATGCAGGTGGCTCAGGACCGTGCTTTGTGGCATTCTTTGGGGGAGGCCTATGTTCAGCAGTGGACTTGTGAAGGGCTGTAATGATGATGATGATGATGATTTCTCACCCGATCATATAGAGACAATCTTAACATATTCTTAAACAACCGCATTTCTACAGCATTAGATAATTTTACTCTCATGCTTCTCTGCTACCCCCAACTTTCACTATTATACTTTGGCCGTGGAAGGAAAAGGGAGATCTCCCTCCGGGCAAGGTATTAAGGCCAGGGAGCGGTCAGCGCTCCTATTGTTATTTCGGAACTGTTATATATATAATGCGTTAACTTCAGAACTTTGATAGCGCGATTTAGGCTTCGGTGCGTTTCGCTTGCACCGCCACAATACATTAAGGTAGACCAACTCTGAACAAATTTTGTTCTCTTCTTTTGTATCAGATTTACCTTGTAGTGGCGATGTAAGAATATCCACTACTAGGCTTGCCAACCGTCCCGAATTTTCCGGGACGTCCTGCTTCTGGGCCAATTTTGGGCCATCCCGCCTTGACCCCATGCGGGACGGCTTTTGTCCCGGAAATCAGTGATTATATGATATTAGTATCTATCTCGTACCAACTACACTAATTTGTTACACATTATTAATTTACATAAATACACATTTTTTTTCCTAACCAATTTGTATGTGGTGTGTTGTGTACCGCGTAATATATCCAAGTCCTGGATATCTTGCTGGGTAATCCCGGAAATGCCTTTTTTGGAGTTGACAAACCTACCCACTACCCCATATCGTCCATTTGGGTGTCGTAAGAGGCGACAGAGGGAAAATGAAACAGAGATGGGCATCAGCACCTTTCTGATAACTACTTAAAATAAAAATAAAAACTCTGGTTGCCAATCCGCCTGCCAAGCGTGCCAACTATGGCAAAATGCACCCTATGGAGGCTATACCACCAATCTATGGGTGAGGCCTATGTTCAGCAGTGGACTTTAATAGGCTGTACCTAATGGATGGAATGTATGGTTTCAAATTTATACCACATTTGAAAACTTTTTGTAAGTAGTTTTTTAAATATTTTTTTTTTGGTACATTTATTTATGTAATGTGGAAATGTTTAAAATATTTACTTGTACGTCTGTTTTTGTCAGTATATTTTTGGAAACGTTTACTTTTTATTTATAAATTTCAGCAATGTACTGTGTAAATATTGTTAAAATTAAATTAAAATTTTATAAGTCTTAAAGCATTGTAATCATAATATGATATTAAATATAGACAGAGTAGAACATGGATAAAGA